AATATTAAATTTTTTATGATATTTTTAAATTTATATTTCTGTCAAAAATAAAAAAATGTAAAAAAAAAGTTTCAAACTAATTTAATTTTTGTTTAGACAATTAAATTATAGAGAAAAGAAACAACATTTTATATAATTATTATTACAAGATATCTCGATCTGCAATCAAATTCTTCAAGAAAGCTTGACGATTAGATAAAAAATCACAAGGAAATAAATCTATGATTCAAACTTCAATCAGAGTTTGAAAGTTTGAATTCTTACTGTTTTCCAAAATCTCATCTTCAATCCATTTCTCCAATTTTAAATTCTTACTGTTTTCCAGAATCTCATCTTCCATCGGTTTCTGAGATTTTGAATTCTCGACTCCATCGTTACCAACGCAATGCTTCACAGCATCCCTCAAATCTTCAAATTCATTGCACCTCCTGAAAAATCCACTCATCAATTTCTTCAGTTCATCGTCTCTAAGATCATCCGTAAATGGTTTGATCGGGATTGCATTTTCCGGCTGCAAACCGTATGAATTTGGGTTGTCATCAACGATCACCGCTTGTTTCAAATCTCGCCCTAAATCTGATATATCCTTTACGAACTTCCCCTCCATTGCTTTACATGAATTCCGATACAATCTGTGCGAGATCAAACCCCTCCAATCCAGTTTATCCAGCACCAACGAAGCGTATTCCTCTATTCCCGCCGTAAAAATGACGATTTCGAAGTTGTTTCTGCTTAAGAATTGAAGGAATTCGTCAACAAACGGACGTTTGAGCACGTAGAAGCCAACTCTTTCCCCATCGAGCAACGGCTTGACTACGAAATCGTAGTTTCCTGGAAGTGATGGGCCGGTGGCTGGTGTGGAATGGATTAGGGTTTCGTCAAGGTCGAGGAACACCGTCTTTTGATTGGGGGAATTAGGTGGAGGAAGGGAGGCGGTTGGCTCTTGGAAGAGTGAGCGGCGGACGGTGGCGATCTGGTCGTCGGTGGAGATGGAGAATTTTTTGAGAACTTGATAGCCTTTTTTGACGGAGGATTTACCTTTTGGAGTGGCGATACGGACGAGCTTGGAGAAGATCTTTATGAGACGGCGGTGGCAGGTGTAGATCGATTTATTAATGGAGGCAACTACTACGGACGCTGTCTTGGTGGCGGTGGTGACTGGAGTCCTCCTACGACGGCGGAGATTCCGATTGGGGTGGGCGGCTGGAGATCCTTTTGGCTTGTTAGCTTTAGACACCATTTTTGGGGTTTCTGTGAAAATTAGGGATTTGAGGAGTGGTTGGGAAGTGGAGGGTTTAATGGAGATTTGAAGTTAGGTTCGGAGTAACGGTCAGATGAGGGATTAGGTTGGGTACCCAGCCCATAGGTTTTGTAAAAGAAAAAGACGAAAAAGGGTAAATAGATTTAGGCATGGTTGTTTTCAAAAATCAATTTATCTTTGGCGGGAGACGAAGGGCATTTTGGGGAAAATAATCATATTTTAAAATTTTATGCTTTTTATAACAATTATTATTCTACTTAACGCCCGCTAATGTTGTGAACCTTCCAGATATGAACAAATTAATTGCATTTAATTTTTCTTTTTAGAGTAAGCTACAAATTCAGTCCATGTAGTTTGCTAAAATGACACTTTTGGTTCCTATGATTTTAAAATTATAAGATAGTTATCGAGGTTTTGAAAAATGTCAGAACTTTGGTCCTTTCTTCTAACGGTTGTTACATTTTTTGTTAAATTAGGGCATTTTTCAATCTTTAATCGATTATTTATCTTTTACACTATCAAAATCGACTTTATGACTTTACTTCCTGTGGTTTTCGATAGGGTAAAAGATAAAAAATCAATAGAATATGAAAATACCCCTCATTTAACATATTTTTTTAATAGCCGTTAGAGAGAGGGATCAAATCCAAACGTTTATACGATCACACCTTAAATTTTATAAATATGAATGATAAGTGGTTTGGTAGAACCATGCATGTTTACCAAGTAAACCCATGGGTTTAACATGTATAATCATGTGGGTTAAAGCGTGACTTGTATATATACGTGCGCCTAATTTTGTATATAAATACACTTCTTTGTAAATTTTTTATGAGTCTAATCAAATTAGAACTGATTTGTTTGTAGTAACCATGAGATCCAATGTGAACCACTCGTTTGAGATACTTAAGGATATTTTTTAAATAAGCTAAAAAGATAATATAGTATTTCTGTTTTTGACAACTAATCAAAATATTTAATTAAATTTTTTTGAAAGAAATATTTAATTAAATTTTTTAGAAAGAAATATTTAATTAAAATTATTTATCTAGTATATCAATTACCTAATACGTTTGTGAATCAACGTGTATCATAGTGATAACGTTCATAATGTTTCACGTGTATCACAATATTTCACGTGTATCACAATGTTTCACGTGTATCACAATGTATTTTATTTTTTTTATGAAATGCATTTTCGTTATTTTCATTGCTTTACAAATAGGCATGACAACGGGGCGGGGATGGGGCGGGTTTTGTAATCCCCGGCCCCGGTCCCCGCCAGGTACGGGGATTATCATCCTGTCCCCGGTCAAAACCCGGTAAAACCCCATAAATAGTTTCCTTTAGTTTGATTCTACCAGGGATCCCCGACCCCGACCCCGGTTTCCGGCCTCGTCCTCAATTTGAGTCTACCGAGGATCCCGGCCCCGGGACCCGTTTTAGCATGGAATCTCCGTCCCCGTTCGGGTCAGGTGAACTGGGTTCCCCACCGGGTCGGGGCAAATCACCATCCCTATTTACAAAGGGTAACACATTGTGCATCTTGTATGTATATCTGGATATCACAGTGAATATCGTTTGTAGGTATCGTAGTGTGTATCTTGTGTTCACATAAGTTTAATCGGAATAAGGTTTGCCGAATAAGATTCACCTAGAGAGGAAAGAGGAGAGATGAGAGAGGATATTTATAAAATCTTTAAAATGCCCTTAATTAATATTCTAAGTTAAAATTATCAAAATTATTAATCTTCTAATTTAACCTCTAATTTGTGGTTGAGATTGGATTTCACTGTTAACACAAATTAATGAGTTCTCCTTGAATGTGTGTGTATATATATATATATATATATATATATATATATATATAGGGTCATTTGCTAACCATGAAAAGAGTATTACCTATATAAACTCTTTAAACTATGTACCAGTCTTTGTTTACACATTTTCATATCTCACCATGAAATTAATTTTAAGGGTATATTTGTAATTTTATTTTTTTTCTCTAGATTCCAATGTCATTAAGGAGTGTTACAAAACAATCAGATCCATGATTCTAACTAAATTAATGGTTTTATTATTTTATATGATTATTGGAGATTTGTTGTTGTAGAAGAAAAAACATAGATGATCATGTTCATCTTCATAGTAATCGTCATCATCTTTCTCACTGAAATATGTGTTCACAAATATGGAGAAATATGTGCGTAGGTGCATAGTTTGATCTCAGTTTACCAACGAATCATCAATTGGGGACGCATATTATATATATGTTCATGAATATGGAGAACTATGTGCATAATATGCGTTCACATATATGGAGACGTGATTATAAATCGGTTCATAATAGGTTCAATATTTGAACAAACTTGTTCATAAATATCGAATCTGCATAATGTGTTCTTCTGTTCATAAAAACTTGTTCATATAATGAATTTAGGCACGTGCTCATGAACCATGAGCACTTGTTCATACATGAACAATTTCCATAAATATCAAATACTTGTTCACACATGAACCATGAAATAAAAAAAACTGTAGAAGAATCTGGTGTCGAAGATTTTGCTATCGATTTCGATTCGATAACAAGAATAATTACGAGGCAGTTACATTGTCATTAGTGGGCAGTTACAAAACATCATATTGTCATTAATTGGTAGTTAAAATCTTTTTTCCAAAATACCCATTGTAAACATTGTTTACTTATGTTACCTTGTCTACTTGTGCAACTATTTACATTTTATGTAATGAATGATCTCAGCCACAAATTTCAATGATCAATGGATAAGTTTGGTTCACAAAGTTAACATCATATATTTGGTAAACAAATGAAATCACCCCTATGTGTGTGTATTTATATATATGTGTGTATATGTATGTATATGAGGAATATTTTGCAAACTGAGTCATTTGTACAAATCGTGAAAACTGTCGATTTCATTGTTTATTTTAGTGGAATTTTTTTATGAAATTGTTTAATATAATAAAATTGTTTCAAATAATTGTGGACATTATCATCTTCATTCTATTAATTTTAGTAAACAAATTTTTTCAAAATGAGAAAATACATGAAACAATTTAATTTTTACATAGAAACAAAAAGATATGAAACATTTTCATCATGAAATAAATTATTTGAAACAATTTCATCATATTAAACTAATTTCATGAAATTTTTTCACTAAAATAAACAATGAAATCGATGATTTTCACGGTTTGTACAAATAGTTTGGTTTGCGTTTTATCCTTCCCCTATATATATATATATATATATATATATATATATATATATATATATATATGCGATCAAATGCAAATCACTCATATTTGTACAAAGCGTGCAAACCACCCTTATCCCTCGATTCATTATTTAATCTTATATTTTTTTTCTTCATGAATTTGTTTAATCTTATGAAATTGTTTCATATAATACTTATGAAATTTTAATGAAATTGTTTCATATAATACTTATGGAATTTTAATGAAATTGTTTCATATAATACTTATGGAATTTTAGTGAAATTGTTTCATATAATACCTATGAAATTTTAATGAAATTGTTTCATATAATACTTATGAAATTTTAATGAAATTGTTTTATATATTTCTCTAAAATTAATATAATTAAGATGATAATATTCATGATTAACATACTTCACAATAAAAATGATTAGTCAACCTCTCATAATTACAAAAAAAAAAAAGAATGAATAAAATAAAAAATTATGATTGGTTAGATGAGGTGTGTATGGTTTATACAAATAATGTGGTTTGCAAAGTAAACCTCATATATATATATATATATATATATATATACTATCTTATTAAGCAAATTTAGAAAAAGTCTTAAAATACTAAATGACCAAAATACCCTTTATACTCACTTTTTCACCCCCTCCTCTCCTCACATACACTCACCCTCTCACAACCGATTTTTATAAAATTATAATTTTAAATTTACACTTTATATCCCTATAATTAATTAATTATTTTACTTTACGTCATTTACTTTAAAATGTTTCATTTTAAACCTTTATCAAATTAACATACATAATCGTATATCAATTAAAACATGTTTAAAAAATACATTTTTATT